TTATCACGTAGGTCTATTTTTCTATCTTAACATAGTTTATTTCTAACCTTGTTAGTACCTTACTCACAAAGTATATTGGTTTTTACTTTCCTTATTTTTTTTTAACTAGTATCAAACTGATGGCTTGGTCGATTGTAGCCAAGTATAAACATAGTGCTTCATCAAGTCTCAGCTTAGAGAGAATAAAATAAGAGGAAAGAATCTCTTTGAGCTTTTCAAATGCTTTCTGACATTGAGGTATCCATTTGAAGTCAAAAATATTCATGAAGATTTTGAAAAATGATAAGCAATGCTCAGCCAACCTGGACATAAATCGACTTAAAGTAATTATTTTCCTTGTTAATCTTTGCACCTCTTTTACTGAAGTTAACGCTTTTAGTTTTAAGATGGCCTGAATCTTTTTAGATTTGCCTTTATGCCTTTCTTACTAATCATATAGTTGAGGAACTTCTCCAATGTGACTCCAAAGGCACATTTGCTCAAGTTAAGCCTCATGTTGTATTTTTTCAAGATGTCAAAGGTCTCTCTAGGTCTTTCAGGTGCTTAACTAGGCTCTTGCTTTTCACTATCTTATCATTTACATAGGCTTCCATGTTTTAGCCAATTTGAGTTTTGAAAACCTTATTAACCAACCTCTAGTAAGTTATTCTTACATTCTTTAGGCCAAAAAGCATGATCTTGTAATAATATAGATTTTTTTCTATTATGAAGACCTTTTTTTCTCATTTTTTTTAATATTTTAATTTGATTATAGCTTTAATAGGCATCTATGAAACTAAAACGGCTATGCTTGACACTATCATCAATAAGTTGATCTATATTGAAGAAACAACTATCTTTTGGGTAGGCTTTATTGAGGTTGGCAAAAGTAACTCACACTCCTCATTTTTTATTGTGTTTCTTTGTCATGACCATATTGGCTATTCACTTGAGATAATATGCCTCATTGATGAAGCTTGCTTGTTATAGTTTGTCGACTTCTTCATTGATACCCTTTGTCTTTTTTAGGTGAAAGTTTTTTTTTTTTACCAAATTGGTTTTATATTCAGGTTGATGTGTAACCTATAAATCATTACCTTATGCTCAATCCCTAGCATGTCTGATGATGTCTAGGCAAACAAATTGACATTACTTCTTAAAAGTTAAATTTAGTGTTCTTTATGGTCAAGTTTGACTGTAATTTATAGATTTTTTTAGGTTATTCTCCCAAAATGGTATAGAGATGAAGTTTTTTACAAGTTTAGGTCAGTTTCATCTATCTCAGGTCTTTAATCTATTATTTCTTTCTTTTCAAGTAGGTCAGGATTGTTTCTTACGATAATGACAAACCCCGACGTGGCAGTTAGTTCATTGTTAGTAAGATGGAATGTAATAGAAATGTAGAGTTGAACAAAATATATGTTTTCATTTCATTTTTCATTAGCTGACTTAATAGCTCAGTCCTATTGACATATATTTGCATTGACTTAAGAGCTTGATCTTTGTAAGATCTATTCAAAAATTTTAAATAATCCATGGCTTGTATAAGTATAGAGCTTAAGATTTTATAGCAGTTTAAGAGCACACTTCTTTTAGGTAAGTTTTTATTACCGTTGCTACTTTTTCTTACTTTTTTGTTCCTTTTCTTCCATGACTTTAACCCCTATAACCTCTTTTTCCTTCTCCACTTCCTCAATCCTAGCTAAGGTGTCAATCTACTTCTCAATCCTTTCTTTCATTGTCATGACATAACATTGTTGTGACATAACATTGTCATGTTACAAACTAGTCTTTCCTAACTTTACTTTCGATAGAGAGATAAACCAATGACCTATAAAATAGATTGACTTGGTCTGTGTAATATCATATTCTAAGTTGATGAAATGTCTATAATCATGAACTCTATGATTAAGGTGATCATCTTCGATTCTATACATAAGGAGAATAGTAGCTTGATGGTCCCTTTGATTGACACCTGTTCATTCTCAAATTTGATCAATATAGTGGCGATCGATTACAGTTTATCCTTTTTTATTCCCATTATATTCATGGTAGTATAGTACAAGATGTCGGTAGAGCTCTCATTGTCACACAAAATCCTTCTTACCATATAATTATACACCACTATTGTAATTACTATGGTGTCATCACAAGGATGTTGGATTCCTTTTAAGTCTTTCACACTGAAGCAGATCGATTCATCCTTTCAATTCTTTTCTCTTTTGGGTGAGAAGCCAACTACCATGGCTAAGCCCTGATCAAAGTTTCTTTTAATAGTGGTAAAGCTCCCCCTGATAATTACATTAATTATGCTTGCAATAGATTGGTTATCTGTAACTCAACCTTTATTTTCCTCTTGCTCATTTCTTTGGTTCTGACCACCCCTTATTGCCTTCTGTTCGATGTTTTGAGTTTTTCCTATCCTTTCTCGATGATCATAGATTCTATACTCCATTTTGCCCTAACTTTGTCTTGCTTTGTGCACAAATCTGCCCAATCGACCTCTTCTAATCAGATTTTTGTTTCATTCTTGAGGTCAACACAATCTTTTATATTTTGACCGATGTCTTTATGGAAGGCACATCTCTTGGTCAAGTCTCTTCTTGTGTTTTGCCTTAATGGCTTTGGCCATTTAAATCTATTCTCTTTCTATTTACAACAAAATCTTCCATCGAGAGGTATTTAGTGCATCGTGGTTTCTTTCTCTGCTCGAGCTTTTGGCCCTATGTCGTCTCTCTCTTAAATGAGGATAATAGAATTCATTGTCTTTTCTCCGCCTAAGGAGAGGGGATAAGCTTCTTTTACCTCAATTGTTTTTCATGGTGGCTTTAGCATTATGTATTTTTTAGCCATAACTAGGATGTCGACTAGTGTTTTTAATGGCTTTAAAGACAAAGTAATCTTCAAACGGTACTTTCTGTCATCGAGTCCATTAGTCAAGGCGACTACAATTGCCATTAGCTCTAAATCTTTCACTTGTCGAGCTTTCATGTTAAAATGCATACCGTAGTCTTTAAAGACTCATTTCTACCTTAATGGATCGACATTAGGCTTAAGGTTGATTTCTTGGTTCTTATGCTACTAACAAAACGAGAGAGGAAAGAGTGGCTGAGCTCTTTAAATGTGGTAATCAACCTTGGCTTAAGACTGCAGTACTAAGACCGAGCTGCCCTTTTGAGGGTTATAGACTATCTTTTACACATCAGGGCTTTATCTGCACCATATATCATCATGTTAGTTCTATCAAGTTCCAAATAATCAAAGGATCAAATGTACCATTATATGTTTCTAAGGTCAACATTTTGAATCCTTTTGGAGGGCATGGTCTTGTTTATCTTTTCGATGAAAGGTAAGGTCTCCAGAAACTTCTGCTCGTCTTCAAAAGCAACAGCTTTTCCTTTCAACTTTTTTTTCATGGCTTAAATTTAGCCTCAAGGTCTTTGTTCAGCTAAGGTTCTAAATTGGTCTATTTGGATTTTTGTGTGGTTTCATAGGTAGAGTTGTGTCTTGGATAATGGTGATAAGTGATTGGGTGGCATGTTCCTCATCCTTGGAGGCTAAGGAGGCTTCAACTTCATCATAATTGGGTTGTCTTTCTACTGTTATATACCGGGGGTGACCAGGTCGGGTATTTTTAAGGCTTGGGGTGGGCTATGGTTTGTAACATCTGCTTTATAACTTGGATCTGCTCAGTAAGGCTTGGAAATGTTTTGTGGTCAACCTTGCCTATGGTGGCATAGGTTGGTCCATATGTTGGCTATTAAGGTTTCGATCCCAGTTGGGACAGCTGTCTCTCCTTCCTCATTGGTTTTCTTTGTAGGTGGCATGGTATTCAGCTCGACTAAAGAATAATACCCCTACCTGATGCGCCAAATGTTCATGTTGAGCTCCAATCTAGGGTCAACCTAGAAATTACAAGAAATGAAAGAGAGTGGTTAGGGCAGGTAGGGAATGTTCCTTACATTTGCACTCCGATGCTCAAGTCAAAGATCAAGATTACGAAGGTTGGAAAAGAGGAAAATAGGAATGTAAAGAATGTTGGGATTAGATTGATAATACCTAGATGGCTCTATTTATAGACGAAGGTGAGGGGTCTAAGGGGCAAAAAGGTGATGTAGCTGAGTTGACATGGTACTATACATGTTAGGTAAATCTAAAAGTCAAAAATACCCGTAACTATCTGCTAACAGACTCTAATGAAGGGAATGGCCAATATGCCTTTCGGACCCAAAAATATCCCTAACAAGAACTTTATCTAAGTCTTACTCATATGACTCGTCACTTACCGCTTTATAAATACAACATGAAGTAGCATATAGGTCATGGTATTTTTCTGGTGCAATATTTTGAAACTTATTTTTATAATAAAAATATCTACAATCTGATAGAAAGTTTATTCATGTTAAACCACAAGGATTGCAACATGATATAAAGCGGAACTCAAACCACATGGATTGCGTATCTTGTGGTAGAGTTTGAGCGAGCGTTGGACGCCACCATGCTAGGGAGTTCAACTGGAAAAGCATAATTTTCATCTTTCTTGTTTAATTTCCAATATTAAATATAGCTATTTGCAACAACATAAATTAAATCCCTCAAAAGCATCTTTGTTGTTTATCATCAGCAAGCATCTAAGTGTACGAGAGGGTTTATATTAATTTGTTTAATTCTAAACATGTGCAATAAAACGAAGAAATAAAAAAGTTTCTTGTGAGCAATTTTCTCATGAATCTGGCAGTGGCTTTTACATTCCTTGCTGTGTATTTTTTTTTTTTTTTTGTTCATTGCAACATTCCCAACGTCATCAATGCAATACTAATTAAAACAATGCCAGCTTCAGGCATTTAAAGCAAATCATTTATTCATAAAGTTGAAAGAGTACAAGGCTGGGCTGCCAAAACAGGCCCGGGTAGTAAGCACATCCTGCTGCCTCCAACAAAGCAAATGTAACGTAGCAATAATATTACATTACTGGCTTTCTTGGGAGCATAGATTTAAACTTTTATTTAGTGGATTTTAAAGGCCGGCTAGCACTGCTATTTGGACAATACAGTAGTTGATACGTAAACTACTGTGTTTACTGCTTCGCATTAGCAACTTGTTTTATCCCACTTGCTTTTATAAAGACGAATGGCCACCCATTGTCACCCAGAGCCAAACGTATTTGTCCATCATCTCCATATCTTCCAATGTCGCTGCATAAAGTTGTGCATGATTCACAAACCGACGGGCAGTACTTAAATCGGTAACCAATCACTCCGGCCTTCTCAATCTTAAACCAACTGGTCAAAGTGTTAGGACCAGGTTTCCCTTTGACCCCATCAGTTGTCACCCACCATTTTCCTGTGGAAGAGTCAAAATTGTCAACCTTCCACACAGTTGATGTTAGGCACAATTTGTCTCTGATGGGAACGAACTCTATGTTTGTATCAGTAGATAGGCGGACAACTTCATCATTGGGGACCGAACTTGAAAACGTCACTGGAGTACCATTGTCGAGGTCGGATCGTCTTTGAACAACAATTTCTGGGCACTTTTGATCACTAGCCCTGCCGAGAGCTAGCCCCCCACCACCAGCACCCGATATCGCGGACAAGACGTAGTATTCAACACCTGTCCGCAGCTCGTCACCATCGATGTCAAGCACAGGCTGGTTTGCAGCGTTGGCTATCTGGAAGAAATATGATTTTGTTGTGAAGGCAAAGAGAAGCAAAGCCACAGCAGTTGCGGTCTTCATGGTTAACACGTTGCTCGATATGCGTTGCTTTGGACGCTGGTCTACTTCAATTTACAAAGGTCGGAAAGGATGCTAAACTTGGTTGGAAGCCTATGAATTATTCCATCTAATCCATTTACGCCACAAACCGTCAGAGCGCGCGTTTTAAAAAATGAGCTGGGACCACTTTCCCTTCTTTTGTTTTCTTGTTTAAGAAAAAAAAAAAATCCAACCCAATTTTTTGAATTCATCAAAATGATTCGGCAATGGTACGGTGGACCGTAATTTGTGTCAGAGTCGACGTTCGCATCGATGGATAGTGTTGGCAAATATTCAGTTTCTGATAGATTTGGATCAAATTATTTTTGGATTTAAATTATTTGAATTATGGTCTTTGGATTTAGAATTTTTACACTCAAATAATTTTGGATTTGATTTTTTTTATATTTAAATTATTTTGGATTCAATTCGATTTAAATTGAGTTGATTTAGACAAATCAAATAATTTTGAAATTTTATAATTTATATTTTTTAAAATTTCGAATATAATAATTAATTTTATTTTTTATATAATTAAATAAAAATATGATAGAATATCAAAGTTAAAATTTTAGAAATTAATAAATATTTATATAAATATTTGTTATATAATAATTTTATATTTTATTATTATTTATTTCTTTTTAGTTTATTTTATAAGTTCAAATAGTTAAATAAATAAATACATGTAATATACAGGAAAAGCCAAAAACCATTCTATTACATAAAAAAATCATTTGAAAGACTCAACAAATTATAAATAAAATCCACTAGACATTTATATAAATGATTTTTTTTATCCTAAAGTCTTAATACAATAACCCATTGGATCATTGGGCACTTAACTTTGGCCATATAATCCAACAATTTTTTATTTTTTATTTTTAATTATATTTTATTAACTTTTTAGTCATTATATTATAATTTTTTCACAAGTATTTTAAATTTTCAAGAATTTTCTAACATTTATTTTTTTTTCTAGAAATAAATGAAATATTAACATAATTACATTAGGTATAATCGTATAAATTGATTTACTAAACCTTTCTAGAATACATATTTTTCGAAGAAAAAGGTCAATTAGATTAAAACTGTATTCATAGTGTCTACAAGGGAATGAAGTATGCATCCTAAACCAGCTTTCTCTGCCAGCTTTTCATGGATCTTAAGGCACTGATCACATGTGGGGCGATCTCTAGTTGACAATCCCCCATATAAGTACCTTGAAACAACCTAATAATCATCACTTGTTATTTATTTCCAATATCAAAAATAAGGGACGCAATATCTTTTTAAACTGTCAGAAAGCAAATCTATCATTCGCAACATCAAACTAAGTAACATGGTTTACAATCAAACTTCTAATCAATATAAATAGTGAAAGTGTAAAACCATAACGAGAAACTCCATGGAGGATTAAGCAGATCAAGCCAAATTTTATATTGCTCAATTATTAACATAATTCAATCTCTTTTAGTTGGGTATAAAAACATCGCAAGTGACCTTATACGTAAGTTTTTGTGTTCTATTTAGGGTCTATGTGTTTCGATGTTTGCACAGTAGTTTGATCGTATTTTGTTGTTGAGTACAACTTTGTTTGTGATTATAACAGCAATTGTTGCTTCTTTGGATAAATAAAACATTTTACTTATCCAAAAGAAAATTCTTGAAATTGAGCTATATTGAGAAAGCTGTACAGTGTAGGAAATTGGACTCATGCTATTAGCAATCAAAAAGAAGGAATAGACATTATTCTTTTTGGCTTTAGAAAAAGATAAAAAAGAAGAGAAAAACTCACTTCATAAAAATATCATAGTACTTAGGATCCAAATAAGAGAACATTCCGTCAATATATTTTATAACCGTTAATGCTCTATGCATAATTATCCAATTTACAGGCTGTAGAGCCCAAATCCAAAAACCAAAAAAGTTTAATTCTTTTTATTATTAAATAAAAAATTTAAAAAGTTTATACTTTTGTTCAAAACCTTGCATCACTCATCTTGAGTCATAGGAGGAAAGCCTTAAAGGGTAGTTTTAAGAGCTTCAACGGGTTTATTCTTGAGATAGGAACAAATCAATCATGCTTAATTAGGGTTTCTTTTCTCAAAAATAAAAATGGAACATTTTGATTTGGATTAGTAAATATCTTCCTAGACTTGTGCTCGATTCTTGTTATTATAGCCTCTACATTATCAGCTTCCACAAATTTCTCTGCTTCTACCATCATCGCCAACTCACTCACTCCTCTGATCCAAGACCTGCCTTTAGAACAACATTCAACAATACTTGTACAAAAAACTCTAATTAAACAAAAAAAATAAACCACTTTACAAAAACGCAACTAACTATCATCTATGCAATATGCAACAAATATTTTAAACAAATTTTAAGGAAAAAAAAACCAACATGCAAACCTCACAATAGAATATACATGCAACCTCTAAATCCATATAACACCTACCATTCTAACACTTTCTATCTTGATTGTATATTTTAACATTTGCAACCCCCAAATTTTAGTTAACACCTAAATAGAATCGATAAAAAAATTACATTGAAAAATTTTTGTTCAACAATAAATAAAGTAAAACCAAAAATAAAAAAAAATTCAAACCCCATTCAACAATTCAACTCCATTGTTTATGGCAGAAAGCATATTTTTATGACAGAACCCTTGCCAATTTGGAAAGAGAACAATTGTTATTGCTACCCATTAAGAGTACCGCAAGTATACAGGTCACAAAAGTAATAAAGATTGAAATATTCTAGATATTATTTCTTTAGGGATCTGGAAGTTCCAAACCTAAAGGTAATTACCAATTTCAACCTTTCGGGTATATCTGGTCCTACAAATTTTTTTTTATTTTTAAAGATCTAATTAACCTAAGATTAATCTAATAAAATTACCAAATTATTAAAATCTAAATTTAGCTACAAATTATAAAGGTTAAAAATCTCTAAGAAAAATTACAAAAAAAAAACTAATTTCCTAAAATGGCAAGTTACTAAAAATGGAAAGTAACAAAACCAAAAATTAAATTAAACATAATTAAAAGCATAATTTAAATTTAAAATTTAAAAGCAAAGGGATGGAAAACATAACCTAGAATTAGTAATAAAAAGTGGCATTAACCTAACAAAAGATAAAAAGTATAATTAGCATTTTAATTTAAAAATGAACTTACTTAAAAATCCTAATCTAGCATAGAATGCATGAAATGTATGGAACATGAATTAAACATGAAAATAGCATGGAAACGCATGGAATGATGTAATAAAAATAAAAATTAAAAGTTACCTAAAAGCTAAACTAAAATCCTACATGAAATGGCAATCAATTTTCATTGAGGCATTTCATTGAACATCTAGTATACTTTATGCAAACTCCTCAATTAATTAACCTAATTCCTAAGACATACAACCAGAATTAAATCCAAGCTAATCTTAATGAAAATAACAAATGACAAATATAGAACAACACATAAAATAAATAAAAATTGCTAAACACCTTAATTAAAACTAAAATGCAACCTAGCCTACTTTACCGAATGAAAGTGATCTAAATCTATATAGCACTATAAAAACTAATTAAACTAAATAAAAATATTCCTAAAAATGAACTAAAATGATGTATGAAAACAGGTTTGAAGATCAACCAAAAATACAGAAATTTAAAGTGCAAAACTAAACTAAAAAATGCACACTACATGCAACTTATGGCTTAAAATGCTATGCAAATTTAACCCTACCTACGGAATTTGCAAAAACTGTTTTTCTACCTTAAAAATAGACTCAAAAATGAACTAAAAAGATGCAAGTGACCCCTCCCTAAAACAGAACACAAAATACAAAAAATTAAATGCAAATCGAAATACTAGAATGCATGGACACTAAGACCTATCAACTAAAATGCCTAGCAAATGTAATCCTACCTAAGGAATTTACAAAAACTGTTTTACTACCTTAAAATAGATATAAAAACAAGCAAAAAGAGGTGCAAGAAAGCTTTGCCTAAAACTAACCAAAAAATGAGCAAAACAGTTTTCAAACCAAAAGCAAAATAAAGGCCTAAAATGAAAATCTAATAAGCTAAATGCTACCCAAAATTTAAAAAAAATGAATATATGTAACATGAAATCCAAGCCTAGAATCTTAAAATAGACATGAAAATGAACAACAAATATGCAGGAGAACTTCACCAAAACCAAACCGCAAATGAATACAAGATAGTTTTTGAAAACTAGTAAAGAAAAATGCATGAAAATGCATGGAAACCAAAACTACTCCCTAACCATTTCACCAAACATAAACCAACATTTTTTTTATCATCTTATCAATGCAAAAACATTATAAAAAAATGCACCAAAAATCACAAGGTAGAACATAAAACAAAAGGAAAATGGGTAGAAATTAATACAAAGTGAAAGAGCATGAATTAAAAATAAAAAGAAAGAATCAAGTCTCTTAGGCCCAAATGAGAATTTTCTCTAGCCAAGGCCACCTTGGACTATACTCTTCTTCCAATCAAAAGCTCAAACAGAAAACAAAGTAAGGCAGAAAATAGAAAGAACCAAAACTGGGAAATACCAAAAATGAAAGCTGAAAATTCATTACCAAAAACATGAAGAGAAGAAGAGCAAAATGTAAAATTTTAAGCTTTCTCCCTAAGCATAAGTCAAACCCTTATTAAATACATGCAAACAAGATGAAATCATTCCCCAAAAGTCACGGTAAAATCAACAAAGGCTGTCTACTAGTCACATTGATGTAGGAAGATGAAAGAAGAAAAATCATGCTCCAAGCAATGGAGGGTTTGGCCCTTCCTTTTGTCTCCTCAAAATGTCCTATTTTCCAGCCCAATCCTAGGTCCTTTCTTAGCTCATAAATGGTTTCTTGAGCCATGCAATCCAGCAGCCAAGCTTGACTTTTATTTTTCATTATGTTCCCACTTGTTGACTTGCACTTTGTTCCTTTTGCTCTCTCTCCTTCTTTGTCAATTCTTCTTGGTATAAAATGAACATTTAAATATCATCCAATGTGGCTAAATTTTAGCTTCAATTCAACTCATTTAACAGCTTCAAGTCTTGCAAGAATCATCCCCAAAAACGGCCCATAAGTGACGCCACTTG